GAATTAGCAAATAAGGAGCTAAAGTTACAACAGTTGACGAAAATCGATGGGTCCAAGCACGACATCCTCTGCTAACTTGACAGGCATTTCATGGCGCAAGCGCTTTTCAAACATTTCGTTTACACTGATGTGCGGAGGAAGTTGTTTTACCTCACGCTTCATAAATAAACCTCAAATTCGGGACACAACAAAGTGGTCGACTAGCCTAATAATACTAGTTAGGACTTTGCCCGATTTATTTGGTTGTTTCTTTGTTTTGGGACTGAAAGAGAGAGAGAGAGAGAGAGAGAGAGAGAAGGGGTAGGTTGTGACGGTGTTAGGCACGCCACTTCTTTTCTTTACTCGCAAACCCTTCACTGAGTGGCCGAATCATGGTCTAGATAGGAGTATTACCTGGAGCTCGAGGTGATAACAATAGAACGAATGAACGTAGCACCTACAAATATCATTTAATACTGCAAAAAATTGAACTCTTCTCAAGATGTTGACAGGTGGCACCGTGAATGAAGTAAGTAGGGCCTCGGCTCATGATAAGTTTAGTTCGTGCTTTCTTGAAAACGTTTTCTGTTATTTGAAAAGAAGTCTACATACCCTGTGATGAGTTGATGATCAGGCTTCCTTGCGTTTCGTAATCAGACAAAACCTGTCGAATAAATGTCAACATAAGCCTTATCTAAAAATAAACGAAAATGAAAGAAAGGAAGCCGACGAAGGTTGCAATTTTCCCGGAGAATGAAACTTCTCTTCTCGTTTCGGCCATCTAAATGATGATGGTAGGTCTAAACTTGTTTAGCAGACTTCAAAATGGCAATTAAGTATCCAGTTTCGTGTTATGTATCTCCTACATAACATTAACGAGAAGGTTAAGTTTCATAGCTCGGAGACTGCAAGCAAAGAGCTTTTACAAACGAAGAAGTGGAGTTTTTCATGGTAAAAAATTACTGGAGATATTTGATATTCAACTGTGAAACTGTAAGGAACAAAAATTCAATGTAATTTTTGGTGGCAGAAATAGTTTTGATACACCAAGAGATACTTACCACCCCGAAAATTAGCGAAAACAAATAAAGAAAAAAAAAATTCATTTTCTAGTTGTGACAAAAAGTAGCCGTACTGTAGTTCACAAGTGTCCCTCCTGTAGCATTACCTATAAACCTGAGACATGACGTAACAGTCTGGCCATCCTACATACAAAAGCTCACTTTATCTTTTGCTTTGCACTTGCGGTGACGAAACATTTTACCCGACTTAATTTCTGAATACCTTAGATGTTCCTACCTGCAATAGAGTAAAGAGATAATATGAAACCCCCAAAAACATACTCAAACTGACTTCTTTTTAGCACGCGTAGTACTGAGTCAGTTTAATCTTGAGATATCACTTCGGGTAAAATTTCGCAGTCCTAAGTTTCAAAGTCAAGTCGAAATCTTTTCGATTTTCACCGGCAGTAGCAGGAGCAACATGTATCCGCTTTGGCATGACACCAAATGTGCGGCGCTTTTCTTTGCGGTAAGTGGATTTAAGAGCGGACATGCCATGAATTTTTAATAATTTTCACTGATATAGATTGTCTTAATTGGCGCCGCGAAAATTAGGACATAAAACGAGAAGCTTGAATTGGTTAAAAGAAAACTGAAGAGTGCAATTTGGATTTGTCTAAATTTTTTGATCTATTGAAAAGCTTACTGTACTTTTCCGATTCTAAGATCGGTCTCAGGCGACAACAAATTGTATTGATTATAATTTTTCCGTTGGATTTTCGTTGTTTTACCAACTTGAAGTCAGCAGCACAGTTTCATGAGGCAAATTCTTTCAAAATACTAGAAAACCAGTTCCTCGTGGCCAGTACACTTGGAATTCAGACAAGGTCTCTAAAGAAATAGACGAGAATGTATTCCGCTGCCAAAATGGTTCTACAGTCAGGCTGTCTTGATGTAAAAGCACTACTCTTCGATACGTTTTCCATGACGGTGTTTTTGGAAATTTTCCATTAAAAAAATGTAAGATTAAAAAATAAGTCGTCATTCCATGAAAAGTCCCCTGTCTAAAAACTCTCTTGCCAGTTTTTAAACAAGGTGATTCGTCAACAGTTTGTAAAGGACAGCATTTTCAAAAAGAAACTTTTCATGGATATTGTGCATGATATTTCAACCAATTTTGCTTGATAAGGATCTTTGAGAAGTCCTCTTTTGTAACAGAGAAAGCGATTTTTTAGAATTTAAATATTAGTCTGTTTAAAAATATATGTTTACGAATCATTTAATGCCGGGTGGAATTTTGATCAAAAAAGATATTCTGTCCGAATATCCTAAAACGCTTTTTAATAGCTCGCTACATTCAGAAAAGTTTTCATTCTTTTACTAAACGTTTTGGAACATAAAAATGACATGAAACCTCTCTTCAGCTTCGCTTCATTTTCCACAGAAGATTTATGGCACTTCTCTGAACCTAAAAAACTTTATTGAACAATAGAATTTTTAGTGGGGGGATTCATAAATCTTTTTAATCGATGCTGTTGATGGTCAGTAAATCATCTCGTCTTTAATTATTTCACTCCATTTCGCTTTTGCAATAAAAAGTTAACGAGCCACGTTTTGTTAAACTTGTGTCTAGATGCTAGTAACTTCCGTTGGGTATTTCATGCCTTAAGCCGGTGACGCACTTGGCGATCTCATTCACTGATCGCCACGAATTTGATTGCCAGCGAAAGTCGTCGATATTTATCGGCAATTCTATATGCTGATCGCTGAGATCAGCGAAAATCGCCATCGCCGCACTGACATACCGGCGATTTTCGCCGATCGCAGCGATTGGCGAAAGTGTGTCACCCACTTTAAGCTGTCAGATGGGTGCAGGCCAACCCTAGCGAGGGAGGAGAAAAGTCGATAAGTATTCTTCAAGAAGCTATTCAGTATTTTTCACGTAAACAAAAACTGACTTCCAATGTTAGTTTTTCACGCTTAGTAGATCCGTTGTAGGCTCGTCAAATTATGTGAATTTCGAGAATTTGTTTACAACAAGGGGGTTTTTGCATTGTTTCTTATATTTTGTTATTTTTGTCGTTTTCATTTAACTTTCACTTAAAAAGGGCTTCAATTATACATTGAAAAAATCGCATTGTAAGTACAAATTACTACTGTGTCTGTTTTGGTACGTATTGTAAGTAATTGTAGCAGAATGTTTTAGTAATGACATGTGATAGTTTGGTAAGTGATTTCAGCAGTATGGGTTGGGTTAGTCCTTCAAAATATTTCTTTTAACAGAATTTATCACAAGTGATGTAGTGGAAAATGGAACAGTGAAAAGTTGCCACGATGAACTAGCAAATCTCTTCTGAGCTTGTGATGTCAAGGTGGACAGTATCGTTGGGAAAATTGGCAAGTACATGGTCCCATACTTTCACAAATGATCAGCAGATTTCATTGGAACTTTGCAGGTTTTCTTAATTTGGTATGATCACTGGAACGACAAGTGATTTTTTGTTTTCAGTTTTGCAAGATACTATAAAGAAAGTGTCTGTAGACTCTGTGGCGTGATGTGTGCGAAGGTCACTAGTCTATTAAGGGTGCAATGACTTCCGATGATTAGTTCCCTGGTGTTGCAGTTCTCGATTCGATCAACCCTTTGTGACAAATCCGGTTTATTATTCTCTTCAAGTAAGGATTGTGTATTAGTTGGTCCCATCACTGTCTCTGAAATATTCCCTCAGAAGCGAATGCTGTCGTCTGAAAGGAATGTTATTCATAAACTTAACGTATATAAGAACGATCCTTCGCAGTAAAGCACTATTTGAGCAATAGTGGAAATCAGACCTGAAAAAAATTTCAGGCCTGTACGGGACTCGAACCACTGACCTCTGCGATACTAGTGCAGCGCTCTACCAATTGAGCTAACAAGCCAACTGGGAGCAGGCCATCAAATTAATTCGATATAAACCCGTAGATGATAAATCGAACAACAACAAACATATGAAACATATGAGTGAACTGCGGTTATGAGACGTATATAAGAACGATCCTTCGCAGTAAAGCACTATTTGAGCAATAGTGGAAATCAGACCTGAAAAAAATTTCAGGCCTGTACGGGACTCGAACCACTGACCTCTGCGATACTAGTGCAGCGCTCTACCAATTGAGCTAACAAGCCAACTGGGAGCAGGCCATCAAATTAATTCGATATAAACCCGTAGATGATAAATCGAACAACAACAAACATATGAAACATATGAGTGAACTGCGGTTATGAGACGTATATANGGTAGAGCGCTGCACTAGTATCGCAGAGGTCAGTGGTTCGAGTCCCGTACAGGCCTGAAATTTTTTTCAGGTCTGATTTCCACTATTGCTCAAATAGTGCTTTACTGCGAAGGATCGTTCTTATATACGTCTCATAACCGCAGTTCACTCATATGTTTCATATGTTTGTTGTTGTTCGATTTATCATCTACGGGTTTATATCGAATTAATTTGATGGCCTGCTCCCAGTTGGCTTGTTAGCTCAATTGGTAGAGCGCTGCACTAGTATCGCAGAGGTCAGTGGTTCGAATCCCGTACAGGCCTGAAATTTTTTTCAGGTCTGATTTCCACTATTGCTCAAATAGTGCTTTACTGCGAAGGATCGTTCTTATATACGTCTCATAACCGCAGTTCACTCATATGTTTCATATGTTTGTTGTTGTTCGATTTATCATCTACGGGTTTATATCGAATTAATTTGATGGCCTGCTCCCAGTTGGCTTGTTAGCTCAATTGGTAGAGCGCTGCACTAGTATCGCAGAGGTCAGTGGTTCGAGTCCCGTACAGGCCTGAAATTTTTTTCAGGTCTGATTTCCACTATTGCTCAAATAGTGCTTTACTGCGAAGGATCGTTCTTATATACGTCTCATAACCGCAGTTCACTCATATGTTTCATATGTTTGTTGTTGTTCATAAACTTAAATCACTAAAAAATATGACGTCATCAGCGGTTCTCTTCTCTCTGCGCATGCAGAGTGCGCCACGTCTTGTTCCAAAACAAAAATGGAGGAACAGGTAATCTGGGATAAAGTATACTGAGCCTGAAGCAACACCTTTTGCGATCGATTTTGTTGTGCAAGCTTCCCTGATACTTTGTCTCTCTTCGCAGGAGATTGCTCAGCTTGACCTCCTCTGCAAACAGTTGTACGAAGCCACCGATACCGTGACAAGAAATACGGCGGAAAGAGCGCTCTCCACTTTCACTAACTCTCCAGACTGTCTGACCAAGTGTCAATATCTTTTGGAACGCGGGAGTGTAAGTTTGCTCATTATATGATTCCAGCTCATAATACAAACAATGTTTCGTTCGCAAGAAACTGTTTATTGTTCAGTTTGTGTACTATACTTCGGAATATAGACTGATGCCACTGGGCTGAATTTCGCGCGCGTAATTAATTATGCTCTTAGAGTATTTTTCCTCGTCTCTAAGTTGTTTAATTTCTGTGCTAATTTATCACGCGCGTTTTTGCACATCGCACGATAGAAGTCCCATTTTGTGGAATGATTTGGTTTTGATGTGAACGCTGTTGCAGATTATGACCAATTAATTTTATTTGTTAATTAAAGTTGTTTCTTTTTTCTTTGCACGTGCATGTGCCATGCTTGACAGTTTTGGCCGTAGTAGAGTAGGTGTCTAAAAGCCATTGAGGTTGCCTTTCATATCAAAATAGTTGCAATACTTCATGTGTGAATGCTGTAATCTCTATCCTCATACTTCATGTTGTTGGCAATCTTACTTTTCTTTTGAGCTTTTTCTGTACTTTCCTAGGATTTTTTTGTTCCATTTCGCAATTGACGATGAATATATTCTAACATTTATCATCATGAGTAGTAGTAGTAGTCATGATTTAAGTTTTTACAAGCAGGCAAATGCTCTGGAGAAGCAAATAAAATCTCTTCTGCCCATATATGAAAATGTCAGAAAAGAGACTTTGGAGGTAGACTTTTATCAACGATTAAAATAGGTAACACAAAGGAAATAATTCTTAATCGCATTTTTAGTAGCTCAGTAGAGTCTGCACAAAGAGATTGAAGCTTTCAAAAATACAACATATTTATCTAAAAAAAAGATTAACACATCTTCCAGCACTTCTGCTAAACCGTTCACATTTTAATTATTTCATTTTTCAGTCTTCCTATTCCCAGTTGATAGCAGCTTCCTCCTTGACAAGACTTATCAGTAAGAACACAGCACTTCCTGTGGAACAAAGACTTGACATGCGTAAGTTTTTTCAACTGGGCTTTTAGGGAAGGTTTGTTAATGTTAAGTTAGCAGGACTGTGTGGAATCCAATTCAGTCTGCAATTCTTGCAGATCATTTTATTCGCAGTTCACCTGCTAGGATCATATTGTCACTATCCACAAGCCATGATCTGATTTACTTAATTTAATTAAAGAGACAATCCTTTCAGGAATACAGAATCCTTAAAACATTTACGTGGCTCCCTAGATCTGGCTTTGTGGCTCAATTGGTAGTAGCACCCAATTAGTATCTGAGAGGGACATGAGTTCCAATACAATCAAAACCTTAATCTTTTCAGCATTCCTTTTCAGCAGTTTCTTTACTCTCAGTTTTCCAGGAAGAGTCCTTTCATTACTTGTAAACTCAAACTGGCATGAAGCATGATATACAAACAATTTCATTTTCCACAAATTAGTTTAAGGTTACCGTGCACCTTCAGGGGTGTCTCATGTGCAAGCGATGTAGCACGTCCGGTTTAAACTGTAGATATCTAAACTCCTCTATCAAATTAAAGCTTATAGGACTGGCTATCAGACTATACCAAAAATTTTGAAAAAAAAATGAATTGTCGAATTTTTCACGACTTCTAAATGTGAGTGCCTGAATCACGTTTTGAACGTTACATGTTAAAGTGAATTTTGTTTTTCACTTATTTAATGTGTTCCTCCTTTTTCGGGACCAAAGTTCTTAAAAAAACAGTCATGTCTACGATTTGCCTTATTCAATTTCAGTGAAAAGTTACAGAACATTTTTGAAATAGGATTAAAAAAATGTGGAGTGATTGTACAAAAATCGCTCTTGAAAAAAAAAAGTATTTAGAAATAAAGAATTCGGAGACACCTTTTTGTTGATGTATGTAAAACCAGCCACTGTCAAAATTTGAGAGCAATATAACAAATTCCCTTTGTCTTGTAGCTCTTAAAAGGTGATTTGGGCGCTCGCATTTACAAGTTGTGAAAAATTTGACAATTCATTTTTTTTCAAATTGTTTAATATAGTCTGATAGCCAGTCTTATAAGCTTTAATTTGATATAGGGGTTTAGATATCTGCAGTTTAAACTGGACACGCTACATCACTTGCACGCAACACACCCCTGAAGGTGCACGGTAACCTTAAGGAGCTCTGTTCAGGGATTGTCCAAAAAAGCTCAGCTGTTGTTGAGCAAAACTGTGTTTTAAACTCTTTTGAGCTCAGCTAAATGTTTTGTCTTCATGCTGATTTCTGTCATTGTTGATACCAGTGATAATTCCATAAATTGTTTTAAAGCAATTGATTATTAAATTAATCTTTTAAATTAATAACTGAGATTGTATGATATGATATTTCAGGCAACTATGTCCTTAATTACCTTGGAACAAGACCAAACCTTGCTACTTATGTCTCACAGTCTCTAATACAGGTAATTAAATTTAAATCGCTCAACGAAGGGCTAACGCTCGAAACGTCAGCTTTTGTAATTGTTATGGTGGCCAATTTACCATTTCCACTTTGTTGATATATCCAAATTATTTTGTTACTCCCACCAACGCAGCCCCAAACAGTTTCTTTCGAAACTATCAGCCTTCATAAATTTAAATAGGCTTTGACTGAAGTAAATGCTGGGGTGTTAATCAGATATCAGTGGTCATAGAATTCTCTGAATACAATATGGAGTTTTCTTGCTACTGTGCAGAATTCTCCTGCTGAAATTTTGATGGCCATAGTTACCTTTATTCAGTCTTGAAGAATATCTAGAGGATATTACATGGATAGATGCAAACACAAATTTTATCTTTGAGTATTGAAACTATTATAAGAGACGATAATTTGTATCCACAGGCAAAGATGTCATATTCAGGGCTGGGTTGTTCAAAGCTGGGTTAAGATAACCCAGGGTTAGTGTGAAATTTGATTTCAGATCTGGAAGCATTATTAAAAGAAAATTCAGCTTAATTCCATTTGTCTACAATTTGATGATTGAATGTTCTAAAGAGAATTGGGAAAATTATCCCAAAATGGCTTTTGAACAGAGTAATATAGAAACCTGGATTAAAATTTAACCCTGGGTTAGTGCTAATCAGTGTTCGAACAACTGGGTCCTGTGTTTATCATATCAAGAGTGACTCCTACTTGAGAATTACGGTCAAGTTGCGGACAGTTCAACTTGCCAACTTGCCAACGTTTAAAATCGACTAGAGACGTCAGCGAGTTGGTCTTCAATCCAGTACAACTTATTAGAAGTTATGCATATAGAAATGTAAACGATCTTTAGTAAAAAAACATTCTTTTTCTTCCAACAAAGTTTATAAGGATCTCAATGCGAATAAAGCATGATAAACATCGTCAATTACTGCAGCGCCTTCAGACAAGTATGAGTTAAGTGGTGTCTGATCCTGAGGGGAATTCGCGTGGTTAACAACAAACAACAAAACACCGTTGTAAAAGTTTCAGGTTGTTTTTTATGTGATACATCAAAATAAGAGAACTTGATGTATTTTTCTGATATGTGTGAAAAATTCTGATAATTGGAAGTTGTCCACTTATAATTACAAGAATCTCAGGTGCTGTAGAATGATCAGTTTAGTTCAGTGATATTTGAGTCCTCCTTTAACTTCTTATTTGTTGAGGTTAGCGGACGAAAACATTTTACAAGTCGGAATGAGGTGGCTGTTATTAATTTACTCTCTTTATCTATGGTGAACCGGATCAAAATTCACATTCAACTGGCTGAGGAAACAAGGAACAACTGGACAAGTCGCGATAATTTATGCCGTGTCTGATACTAAGGGGAATGATGCTAACATGCTTTGTTCATTTGCGTCTGAAGCTGCTGTAATTGGTGATGTTTACCATGCTTTATTCGCGTTGAGATCTTTATAAACTTTGTTGGAAGAAAAAAGAATGATTTTTTACTAAAGATCGTTTACTTTTCTACATGTTTAACATCTAATAAGTTGTACTGGATTGAGGACCAACTTGCCGATGTCTCTACTCGATTTTGTACGTCGGCGAGTTGGCGTTGGTGAGTTGAACCGACAGCAACTTGACTAGGTACCCTACTTGACTCAAAGAGAATTTTGGTACACATTCTAAAACACTTGCTCACTGAAAAGTTACTTTTCTTAATTTCTGACATAAAAAAAAACAATTTTTCAAAGTTGGTATGTAAGATCTACCGGGCACTTTTTGTAGTATTATACAAAACAAATTTTTACAGCCTTTTGAGCTTCCAGAAGTGAGTTTCAATATGCTGGAATGAGAGGGTTATTGTATTTGTTATTTCCTGATTACAGTAATGTTTGATTTATGGTCTTTGGAATTATTTGCTCCATTTTATCCAGTTTCTTGCCAGACTGACAAAACTAAGCTGGTTTGATGTGCAGAAAAATGATTTGGTGTTTAGAACCCTTGTGGATGATGTGGGAAAATTTATTCAGGTAATTCACTTGATTGGTAGTTAGTTCTGAGTACATGGATGTACACATTATAGCAGAAAATGAAGTTCAGGTCAAAATGATTTTGAATTTGATCCTGTTTCATTTGTTTTCTGCTTCAATCTAAACTGGTGAAGAGGAGAAACTTATGATTCATTTCTGATCATGCCCCCCCCCCCCACACCCTTGTACCATGACTACAATCAAGCTTTCACACATGGTCTGTTATTATTCAAGTTTTATCAAAGAAACATACTTCATTTGACAAACAACTTTACTTGTTACTTTTTAGGGATCAGTAGATCACTGCATTATTGGAGTACATATACTTTCACAGTTAGTGTGTGAAATGAATCAGGTATGAATAACTCTGTATGTACAAGTCTTTAAAAATATTGGATCCTCCCTTCGTCCTGGCAGCTATTGTCAGAGAGTGTCCATATACTGTGGAGCTAACATACAGATAGGCACCTTTTCTACTAATTTACACGCCAATTTCTCCAGTCAGGAGAAAATTAGTTCAGTGTTGAAGATAATCCTGGATTACATTGGTCTTCCTTCTCTTCAACATCTTAACAAATCAGATGATGACATATTAAGCCAATAGTTGTTAGAACAAACAATTAGAGGATATTTCTATTGACTCTGAAGAAAAAAAGGACAATGGTGACCAGTCCCAACAAAGGTCAACATAATGACTCACAGTTGGTTTTAGTTTTAAATCTGATTGATTGAGAGTATTGTGCAAGTATTTTTAGATCATTCACTTCATGAGAATACTCAAACTTATCAGTTAAAAGTAGGTATCTTGATTTAAAATTCCTGCAACTAACTTAAAAGGAAATGTGTTGCAGCTAGACAGGGAGAATTAACAATCAGGAGTTAAATTGGGAGTTCAACAGTTAACTGAAAATTATGCTAAAAGTGAGTTGGTCACTCAAAGTGTTAAACAAGATGAATTGGTAAAGAGGGGAAGTTTAAGCAGAATTTTAGCATTAAAAATGATGAACTCCTCTCTTTTTTGTAAGGCTGATTCAACAAGATCACTCACCAAACACAGAAAGGTTAGTCAAACATAACTACACTTGGCAGTAACGATGATTGTACAGTAATTATGTTACTATAGGTGCTTGTGTAGCACTCAAAGCTGCAACTGTTTTAGTTGGAGTGGGAAGTAAAAGAAATTTGAAAGACTGAATTTGCAGTCACCAATTTTGTGACTAGAGAGATTTAGGAATTGAGTCATTTAAAAAAAAGCAACAACTAGAAAAGACACTACAGTTGCATGACTTGTATAGGACTCTAAATTATTATTCCTCTATTAAGTATAAGTACATTAAGACTCTTAGCTGATATAATCTAGGGTGAGCTTAATGCTTCACCAGTGACATACATTTTGTTTCTATTTTCAGATAGCATCATCTTTCAGAGATTTATCCCTATTTAACATCTTCAACCTGTCAATAAATATTTTACGTGAGGTAACATTATTTTGTCTATAATCCATTAAATCTTTTACTGTTAAGATATAGGACTGTTAAATTGAACTCTCTCATTACAAAAAAAAATCATACTTTATCTTCTTGAATTATTTTGAAGGCCTATAACAAACAGTTGAACTTACAAGATGGCAGTCAGGTTTGTTACTTTTATCGTTTTACCTTATTATTTACTAAGTGTTTGGAGGAAATGTAAACAGAGTGGAAGGTGAGTTATTTTTACAAGCTTACTGTTGTTCACAGGGCTCTTGAGGTTGATATTTTATTAGTGTACAGAGAGGGGGGGTTTCAAATAAAAGATTTTTGTGGGGGCCTGCCCTCCCTCCTTCCTCTGTAAATGCATTTTCACCTTTCCAAGGGTGTGTGGTCACAGGAGTTTCAACTGAATGCTGTAAGCTTGCATCTTTGTCAATGATATGCCACATTATTATTGTGTCCCACAGCACAGCCTGATGAGCTACCTCCTTCAACTCACCTGCAACTGCCTCTCATTTGATTTCATTGGCACTTCCATGGATGAGTCATCAGATGACCTTGGTACTGTCCAAATACCAACCAGCTGGAGAGGAGGTATGGTGCAGCTGTTTGATTTTGGCAGTGTCATTATGATGATTTATAACTATTGGTTGCTTTGATGATTTTTCAAAATATTCTGTAGTGTTATCCCATTATCTCTGCTCTCCTGTGAGCTATTGTGGAGGCACGGTGGCCTTACCGTTAGAGCGCTTTACTCCAGATCGAGTGGTCCGGGTTTGAGCCCCAGCCGGGACATTGTGTTGTGTTCTTAAGCAAGACACTTTACTCTCACGGTGCCACTCTTCACCCAGGTGTATAAATGGGTACCGGCAATTTAATGCTGGGGGGGTAACCCTGCGATGGACTGGCATCCCATCCAGGGGGGAGTAGAAATACTCCTAGTCACTTCATGCTACAGAAACCGGAGTTAAGCACCGGCCTAATGGGCCACTGGGCTCGTAAACAGACTTTACCTTTTACCTGTGAGCTATTGCCGTATGGTGCAAGGTACATATAAACACAATGTGCATGTACTCTACCTTCATAACATAAAGGTGAAAACCAGCCCAAGTCCTAGACTATGAGTGTAGGTGCATATACTCCTGAACTATTAGCACCCACTCTGAGTCTTATTGAAAATTCTTAATAACAGAACTACAACTGATTGTTTATTGGAGTCGAACAATCTGTGTTTGGTTTTGATTGACTTACACTGCCTTGTACTCAGTAGTTTTTCCTTTATACGTTTTCCTTTTGAAACCCTTGGGTTCAAATGCAATTTCTTTAGCTGCAGTTCACATAATTATATGACTTTCATTTATTTTACAAACATCGACTCATCACTTCACAGGTTTATTACAAACTGGTCAACGTAATGACTAGCTTCCAGTTGACTTGTTAGCTCAGTTGGTAGAGCACTGCACCGGTATTGCAGAGGTCATGGGTTCAAATCCCATACAGGCCTGAATTTTTTTCAGGCCTTATTTTCACTGCTGCTTAATAAGTAGTGTTCATTGCTGCAAAAATTGCTCTCATATTCATTTAATTCTGTGTTGGCTTTCACCATTCTAACTTTTGTTTTGTCTGTTATTCCCTCAGCATTCTTAAACTTGGCCACTCTGCAATTATTTTTTGATTTATACAGAGCCCTCCCAACTTCACTCTCTCCAATGGTAAGTTGTCTTTTTATGAGATGTACAATGAACTTTTCACAAGATTTGCAAAACTTTTTTGAGGTAAGAAAATGCCTCTTAACATTTTTAGATAATTAAATGACTGTAATTAGCTGGCAATGGAGGGTTTTGAAATAATGGACATTTTGGCATTTCTGAGAATTACAGGGTAATAGCCAAGGGTATTCTAATGACACTTGAGCGACATCTTCAACTTATAACTAAATACAAGGTATCGATGTAACTACTAGCAAGTTTACACAAAAATACAGTTGTACCAATGAAGGTATTTTACCCTAGTTAGTTATGATAGTACTTACAGTAACACAACCATGATTGTGGAATTTGTTTGTATCTTGCAGGCCCTTTCATGTTTAGTCCAACTAGCATCCATTAGAAGATCATTATTTAACAATAATGAGAGGGCAAAGTTTTTAGAACAGTTGGTTCAGGGCGTCAAGGGAATATTAGAGTCACCTCAGGTACGTTTGTCAGATGACCATGAACTTGATTCAGGGCAGGAAACTTGGCCCGTCTGAACGTCCAAGACGGGTAACTTTTCCATTCGGACAAGGAAAAAGATGATCGAAGTTGTCCGATTGGACAAGTAAAGTTGTAGAGCTCTAATGTTGCCTGACCTTGGATAAATAATAAATCATTTTTTCCCCTATTTTACAGCTAAGTGCCTTGGAAATAAACTATCTTTTCTTTTTTGTGCAAGTTGTGTATTTGATTTCTTTGCTAAGTGTCGCCATTGATTTCCACTTAACTGGGGCATGGTTGAAATAAAAAAAAGGATTTTTGAAGCCCTAAATTGCTGTTGCCATTTTTTTTCGGACAAGTAGTTTTGTGGTCCAGACATGTAAAATGCACACTACACTTGTCCGAAGGGACAAGTGAATTGAAAAGAAAGTTTCCTGCCCTGTGAATATCCTTTGGTATGTAACAAAAGTAAAGAGAGTGAAATTTTTTGATTCCTTAATTTTGAGTGCTTTGTACTGAAAATGACAAATTTCAGGTCTTTTGTGAATTCAAAGAAGATTTTCAGATGCTTGTAGTTTTTTCTAACAAATGTTTGGGCAGTAATTTGCCTTGAGCAGTAATTTTCCCCAAATTGTCTGGCAAATGACTCTCCTTAGGAACTTTCCTTTGCACCTTTGAAAGAAAATTATCTCTGTTCAGTGAGTGTTTGCACATTTCCTTGTACTTCAAATTAAAGTCAATACTAAATCAAGCCTGTGAGCAATAGCACATGTAATGTATCAAGAAGATTTGTTGGAGAGACCAGACTTAACACCATCCCTTTCTCAATACATGTATTTACTGGAAAGATTCTCTTTGGGTGGTGTGCAGTAGTCAAATGTCCCAGTTTAAGGAATTAATTGTAATTCAGAGATACTGGAAAAATGAGGGGCTTACTGCTAATTTTTGAATTTATTTGTAGTCTCTAGCTGATCCAAATAATTACCATGAGTTTTGCCGGCTGCTTGCAAGATTGAAGTCTAATTATCAGCTTGGAGAGATTGTAAAGGTGGAAGGTTACAGTGACTTTATAGCACTTATAGCAAAGTTTACAGTGACAAGTTTGCAGGTAAAATGAAGCAATGAATCATTCAGTGTAGTATATTTATGTCAGAGTGTCACTTCCCCTAACTGTGTTTGTCTCTATCACTTTTGGAATTGTCAATTTTGAAGTTGTTGTCATTATGAATAAATTTGTGGAGTTGCAGCATCTGTTCTGCCTCCTTGAATGCAAAGTCAATATTCTTAATGCAGACTCATCCAATTAATAGAGACCTTAAGCAACGGCGACGGCAACGGCAACGAGGACGTGGAAAAACAAGAGATCTAATTGACAGAACAATAGCTCAGCACGTGCATTTTGAAACTTTGTACATTTCTTACCCGTTCTATGCAAAACAACAACGTGAAATCGCCAAAATTTGGGTCGTCTGCAAGCCGAAACCGCGACGGCAAATATTTTAATTTCCATTTGGAACTCAACGCTACTTTTGTACGTCATACTGAAGTTGAGCTGTGGCGCCGTATGAGACGGTAAGCTCATGCAGCTATTTTTGAAATTCTAACTAAGAGTAGAAATTCATTTTTTAATCAAAGTCTTCCTTGGCATTGCCGTCCTGACTGCTTAAGATCCCAATTGATATCGCTGTGACTGTGATTCAACCTCTCTTATGCAACCTCATATTGGGATGGCTTTTTGGGCAAGAGTTGAATGCATTAAAATAGCTAGAAATTGAAGAAAACTCTTACTGATGCATTTTGTGCATTTTTTTTTCAGATGTGGCAGTTTGCTCCTAATAGTTTACATTACCTATTGAGTCTGTGGCAAAGGATGGTTGCTTCAATGCCCTATGTGAAGAACACGGAACCACACCTTCTAGAAACTTATGCCCCTGAGGTATTATCTTCACACATAACAGTTATGATCCACAGTAATCAAAGGATCGAGGCTGTTTACAAATGGTCTGATTTGTCTTTTTCTTTTCATTTCTTGTCTACTGTCAGGTCACCAAAGCTTATGTCACATCACGGATGGCTTCTGTTGAAGTTGTTTTAAGGTAAGGTAGGGGATTGTACAGAGTGCTTATCATTTGAGAGTCATAAAACCAAAACCAAAGTAATTTCAACAGTCAATCAAAAGAAATGAATGTACCCCCAAGAGCTAATGAGAAATCAAAGTAAAAATAACCAAACTCTCTAAAGTGCAGGAAAATGCAAGTGATCAAGTCGTGACTGGTTTTAGTTTTGCTTCCGATTGGTTGAGAGAGGGGCATAAGTTTCTGTACCAATTACAGTGCAAAGTAAAGCAAAACCAATGCAATCTCAGATTACTTTGGGAAACTCACTTAAAAATTGCTCTATTTTGGGCAATTTAATCAGATAGACAAGTGGGGAGATTCTTTCTAAGTAGTTCTAAAACCAGAGTATATAGTTTTGTTGGAGAAATTAACAACTACTCCACTGTTTAACCCTTTCACCTTAACGAGTGACCAAAAAAAAATTTCTTCGAAAATTATCCTCACATTTTTAAGCAGAATGGTGATGAGAAGCAAGAAAATTATGAAGTTGGAGGTGTTCTTCAATTTAACACCAAATTCTTAGAACTCAAAGTATAAAAAGTATGTGGGAGACTGAAGAGAATTGAGTTTTTTATCTACATTCTCACAAGGAATTGGTTGTTTTTTTAGGGAGAGTGCTGAGGATCCACTGGATGATTCAGGAACAGTTCAACAGCAGCTGGACCAGGTAACATGACTGCCATGTATAAAGAAACTGCAAAACTGCAATATCCCTTCTGGCTAGTTTCAGTCATGATGGGTAAGAGTAGAGTGCATTTGCTGATTGCAGATGAAATTATACACACATGATTGCTCCTTGGATGTCAACCCACTGTGTAATAAAAGGTTTCATTTCAAAATTTATTGACAACTTTTTAGACACTTCAAACTTTATTATTGCAAATTTCTGAAGACAAGTGACAATTTTTTCCTGGCCCACAGGTAGCCAATGCTAGTCTAGGTGGCTGGTTAATAAAAATATTATTACAAACAATTCATATCATTATACATTCTCTTATGTCATACCTACAGACAACAGACTTTATGCGCTCTTGTGTTTACAAGTGCAGCTCAGGAATATGCATAATAAAACAATTATTGGATTTGGTTTTTGCATGATAGCAATAATTATCAAGGCCTCAGTTTGTGTTATGCACCCACCTCAGCCTTCAGCTTCAGCAGGTGACACAAAACTTTGGCCTTGATAATTATCACTATCGTGCTCAACCTCATCCAATAATTGTTAAATCATATAACTAAAAATATACATTACATCGGATGATTTTTTCTTTGCAGCTTTCTATATTTGGGAGATGTGAATATGAGAAAACTTGTCAGCTGCTAATTTCACTGTTTGACCAATCTGCTCAGAGATATCAGGAACTGATACAAAACAATACTGCTTCAACCACTGACCTGGCCATTGAGGAAGGTAATCACCCAAGAGTGACCATATAACTGAGAATAGTTTTATTTCATTTTATGCAAGGCATTAGTTACAAGGCTGCGCTTTAACGAAAATTGAATGGAGCCCAGTGCTCTGAAACTGTGAAATCCAGGGTGCCCAGCATATGCTTTGTGTGAAAAAACTAAAATTTCTGAGTCGTCCAAGAGCAAAAGTAAGGCGCCAGGGGCCACCGGGCGCTGTTAGAGCACAGCCTTGAGTTAATATGTAAAAGTGGACATGTTTGAAAAATTTATATGCAATGTTTCAATGTTTAAGTTCATAATCAACTCTCTTGGGGATTATCACTTGATCAAAAGTGTTGCATGTTTTTAACATCTGTTAATCAACTTTGATACAATTGGGACAAAACTACCCAGCATTGAGCAACAGTTGAACTTCGAGCTTAAAATGCATGTGATAATGAACTCTCCTTTACATGTTTTTAATTGCCCACCAGAGGGGTGAAGTGGGAGTTGGGTGGTGTGGTAGTTTGCTTTAGAGACATGTTGTAGTGCTCAAGCGAAATGGCCTCAACTGTTGAGTCTGAGATAATGGATCACCTTAAACTTCATTGCTTGCATTCATGATGCAGTATTAGAGAAATTTTGCCAGAGACTTGAAAGTAATTTTGGGGTTTTGATGGTTCAACTTTGAAACAGTCTCTGATTGTTTGAGCAAACCGGCACAGACTTTTTAATCAAACAGATGCAAAACTGAAACCAATTGCCAACTAGTCTCTCGTGATTTCCCTCCCTCTTCGCAGTTTGTTTATTTCTACTTTTATTTCTGATTGGCTGTGCAGTCTATAGAGTATTAATAAGGACATGTAAGTGTGAGATGTCTTATTGAAATGAAGCTGATGACGTCATACAAAAGTGAGAGAACAATGTTATGTAAAACACACCATAAATATGTAAATTTCATGTATTTAACTAAGTATTTCAATTTGACCATAATAAGTAAGTTATTAGAAGTTGTATTGGTCATCAATAAAGTGTCTTTTTTATACTCAACCAGGAGTACTACAATTTCCTTTTGAGAATTTTTGTTTTGATTTTCAATTCATGATAAGTTAGGTTGTGGTCCTATGAACCATTAATAACCTTTGCCTTTGTTCTTGAGGTCGCCTAACATGGCTTGTGTACATCATTGGCTCTGTGATTGTGGTCCTATGAACCATTACTAACCTTTGCCTTTGTTCTTGAGGTCGCCTAACATGGCTTGTGTACATCATTGGCTCTGTGATTGTGGTCCTATAAACCATTACTAACCTTTGCCTTTGTTCTTGAGGTCGCCTAACATGGCTTGTGTACATCATTGGCTCTGTGATTGTGGTCCTATAAACCATTACTAACCTTTGCCTTTGTTCTTGAGGTCGCCTAACATGGCTTGTGTACATCATTGGCTCTGTGATTGGAGGGAGAGTGTCTTATGCAACAGTAGATGAGTATGATGCACTGGATGGTGAACTTGTGTGTAGGTAAGTAGGCTGCTGCTCAGTTGCTGCTGTTATTATTATTATCTTTTTGTTGTTCCAGTCGACATTCTACTGTATCCTCCACCAATGTTTTGGTAATGGTGGAAAACCTAAGTCTAAGTTGAAATAAATGGAAAATTCTGTCAGGGTCTTTGTTATCAATAGAACACACAAGTAGAGAGTGTAGTCTTTACTTGTATTCTATGATAACAGAGACCTCATTCTTTGGAACGGAATCAAGATGAAATCTTCATTTTAGTACATGCAACAAAGATTATAGTGTGCGTTTTTTCTTTAATGATTCAATGGGTAAACACCTTAACTTTTTTTCAACAATAGTCTTAGGGGTAGTTAGACGTTACTTACATTTGTATCACTGGACAAAAAACTCGTTTTGTTTGGCATGAAAAAATTTCATCCATTTTATCATTAACCCTATTACTATTATTATGATTAATACTATTATAATTATTATTTATTATGGTAGTAGTCGTGGTATAGTAGTAGCCAGAGTAGAGTTTTTCCTGCCCTATGTATTATGTATTATTTTACAAGACCGAGAAACTGAAAAGAGGTTTAGAGACTGTCTAGTTAAGACATAATTACGTATTCACAGTCTACCATAAGCAACAATAATTGCACTAATTATACAAACCAAACCAGACTACAGTAAATGGTGAAATTTTATCGTTCGGATAAAAGTGCATTTATTCCTGGGAAGGATGGTTTGAAGGTGACGTTATTGACCGACATTTCGACGAGAAAGACCTTTTTTCATCTTGTTTCGAGTTTAAATAACGAAAAAATTCTTAGGATGTTGAAACTTAAGTCACTATTACAGTAGCAAATGTCATTTTCTGGTAAGACTTCTTTCACACCCAGACGGTCACAGTGCACCGAGCTTTTTTTTTTGTTTCTTTTCGTAGGGTTTTGCAACTGATGAATCTTACAGATTCTCAACTTTCTCAGCGAGGAAGTGAGAAGCTGGAGCTGGCCATACTGAGTTTCTTTGAACAGTTTCGGAAGATGTACGTTGGGGACCAAGCACAGAAGACTTCCAAGGTGAAACAAAAAATGAGTTTCCCTTACACTCAAGGCACTCGAGGGACACCTCGTTGTGTTGTAAATTCAAAATCCGCGATCACTTGATCGTGTTTGACATATTTTCCTTAAGGGATTTTGTTTGTTTATGTAAAGATTTGGTTTAACAAATTCGAGTTTAATGCAGTGTGTAAGTCCACGGTAAATCAAACTTCTCATAGCTCAAAGTAAAACTCGCCATAGTTTAGCTGAGTTTTCAAAAAGGATCAAAACTTCAAAGGCCAGAAAATTTTGATCGAGCATTGTATGATGACCAAGTAACAGTTGTTCTCTCCTTTACGAACAGGTTTACAGGCGACTTTCAGAGAGACTTGGCCTTCACGATGAATCAAACGTTCTGAGTGTCTTTATGGGAAAAATGTAAGGGGTGTTTTGTCGATGTTGTTGTTTCACTTCTCATGTTCATTCTTATCCTTTCCAGCAAACTTGGCTTCACATATGAATAAAGGCTGATAGTTTCGAAAGAAACTGTTTGGGGCTGCGTCGGTGGGAGTAACGAAATAATTTGGATATATCAACAAAGTTGAAATGGTAAATTGGCCACCGTAACGATTACAAAAGCTGACGTTTCGAGCGTTAGCCCTTCGTCGGAGCTTGGCTTCACATAAGCTGGTGTTTGGCTTACAGTTTGATGGGTCGATCCCTTTCAAAGAACTCTTCGACTGTGACTTAATATCAAAATAACGTAAAGTGATCAGAATGGCCACCGAGATGTCTTATCTTATTTTTAGAATCACGAACATGAAGTTCTGGGGCACCAGTGAAGCCATCATCTCCAAAACCTTGCAGCTTCTGAGTGATCTATCTGTTGGATATCCTTTTTAACGTTGTCTACCAATTGAAGTTTATATAACTAACCTAATGATAAGGCTGTGATCTCGAGATTTCCATCGCGTGATAGTTGTTGAGAGCGATCCTCCAATCAAGTGTCATGCACAGAAAAAGAGAGCGAATAACAAATTATGTTAGTATGGATCTTTTAGTCGTTAGCAACAAGAGAAGCTCGTTTTTTTATGGAACAATGATTAAAAAAAGGCCGAACATACTCTCTTCACTCGCTTTCATCCACGGAATAGGTAGCGAGTAACCAATAAGATCGCAGCTTTTGTGATAAAACCCAAGTAGTATGATACCTACATGTAGTCTCAATATTCAGCAAACTTGGTGGATCATCTTGTGCTTTTCATTTAAGGACCTTCGGTTTCTCAGAGCTGTTGAAATCAGCTGTAAATAATGCATAAAGTGAAACCTTGCCGGCTAAGTTCCAACAAATTTTTATTTGGTGTCGAAAGAGTCTTGAGTCAGTCATTTGAATCAGGTCACATCTGTGAAACTTTCGATGCCTTCGTTATGTTAGGGTTCTTGAGGTATCTTTTTCGCAGGTTTATGCTTCGACGAAAACACGATGAGCACATTGTTTTCATTTTTACTATAATGCTGTAGCTGTGCTTTAACGTGTTTCGAAATTATGCCTTAACGTATCGTAACTATAGCAGTGCTCGTAAATTGGTGAAGTTAGATGCTGTACAATTTGTGCTCAACAATCATACGGTACGTCTATTTTAAGTTGTGACTTCAGTCTGACTCGCAACTAAGAAATAATTTTGCAGGATTGCACTTTGATAAGAGTAAAGATAGCTGTGAAAATAAACTTGTTCACCCTGTCTTCCTTCCAGAGTGAGCACTTTCCATTTCTGGGAACGCACGCTTCTCGAGCGTACAAAGACATGCGCAGTAGAACCACATTTTATGTTGCCCTTGGCAGATTGTTGATGGTAGATTTGGGTGAGGATGAAGAGAAATTCGAATCATTCATGTCACCGATAACAAGTAAGATCTCATTCTGTTGTTACAGCCCGGCGCACACTTGAGCTATCAGCTGAGCTGAGCGTCACTCGTGCTCTTGCCTTACGCCGTTTCCTCAAGTGTGCGGTGTCTTTTTCTGCGATTTTGGGCACGAGTGAACATTTCCTCACAGTGTGCGCGCGTTCTGAGCTATCAGCGCAGTGATCGATGCGAATGCGCTTGCGTTTTTTTTACACACAGACTTCACAATGGCGGGTGTTAACGAAAGTGCGAGCTCGTCGGAAGATGAAAAGATTTTGCTGTCCTTTTTATTACTGCGACGAAGGCGAAGGCGCTTGAGGGTGGCTAATCGAAAGGTGTGGGTAAAATCTTGGTTTCACGCCGCCAGTCACAAGGTGCATGTGCAAATATTGTTCGTGAACCATATCCTGTGGTGACATTACCAACAAATAGGTAAAGCTATAAAGGACTTCCACGTTTTGCGGGAAACGCCGTAAGACTTTCACGATCATGCTGTGCCTCTTCAAGATTCCTAGTCTGGTAACCGATGGCATAACGAACTAGATAGGATCTCGCGCAAATTTAGCAGATTGTTAACTTTTTAATCTGGTCTACCATGACGCCATTTATCTTTGTGTTTCTTCCTTTTCAGTGTTATTTATTTAATTATTTTTAATTTTTCAGCTACCATGGATTCAGTAGCGAGTCATTTGATTTCTGTTGGAAACAATGCTTTCCAACAAGAAGAAACTAAGGTATTTTCAGTTTTGTTAATTCCTTCGGTTTAGAAACCCATTTGCACCTCAAGGCTGTTCCCAGGTTTAATTTCAGTATTCTAACTTATGAGATTGATCATCGCAGTAATGTACTTCAACAGTGGTGAAAGTAAAAAACCTGAAGAAACTGTAAAGTTAATCTGAACGCCGCAAGCATGATATTCAGTTTTTATTGGGCTTTGAAGTGTAAGTACCCGACTGATGGAAGCCCTGGAAAGGATGGCTTTTAGTCAAAAGGAAATCATTATCGTTGCGTAGTAAAGGGTTGTTTAGAAGTTTTATGTCACAAGTCTGGTTCTTGGATATTTATTGTTGTGTTCCCTTTGCAGCGTACCCTGGTTGGTCTCTGTCGAGATATACGTGGGCTCGCTTTTGCGTTCAACAGCAAGTCTAGTTATATGATGCTCTTTGATTGGATGTATCCTTTATGTAGGTTAGGTTATTGCAAATTTCAGTTGAGCGAGGCGCGCTACGGAAGTTTGGCGGTTCAGTTTTGTTGTCATGGCAATTGGCTCCCTTTCTAGTGGCAACGTGTCGTTTAACCTCTTTTGGCGAGCTCTCACGCTTGCAGGGTTCCCGCGCTCCTTGAAAGTCCTTGAACTTAATTTTTTGTTTTCAAGGACTTGAAAACCATTGAGTTTAGACTCAGGTCCTTGAAAATGAAAGTTTTCTTTTGTTTTCGGTGTTAAAAGTGTAAGTTTCTAGCACAAATTGTGAAAACTAGTTTTCCTTTCAAATCCTGCGTCTGATTATGATGTTTGACACATGATTTTTATTTATTTTGTACCTGATTGGTACATTGAAAATAACCTTGGTTACTTAGCACGTGATCACTCTGATGCGCATGCTTGAACTCACGCTCGTTGGACTTTTCGGCGGGTCCTGCACGCACGCTCGTGTTATTGAAAGGTCCTTGAATTTTAGAGCCAAGGTCCTTGAAAATGACCTAAAAAGTCCTTGAAAGTCCTTGAATTGGATTGCTGAAAAAGTGCAAGAACCCTGCGCTTGGCAGTTGGCGACGCACGCCTCTTGAGATTCGGTTACCTCTGGAAATGAAGAAGACCTACGTGTAATAACGCCTTAATTTTACTGTCAAAACCCCGTCACCAACTTTTTCTGCGCGTCCCTCAACTGATTCAACTGATCCAACTAATCATAGTAAGTGTGACAAAAATACTAGTACAAGTTCCATTTCAGAGAAATGTCCTTAACTCGCCCAAGCTATCCTACCTACACGTCTGTTCTCCTGCGTGCAATTGAATGGTGGTATCATGATCCTAATGTGTCCACACCAGTATTAAAACTCATGGCTGAACTCGTACAGAACCGTTCACAAAGGTTACACTTCGATGTTTCCTCGCCAAACGGAATCCTTCTCTTCAGGGTTACCAGTGAGATGATCGTCGCTTACGGTAATTAATTTTTTTTATCTTTTACTTCTTTCCTGTCCTCGATAAACTTCCAGTGACAGGAAGCAGTAAGGACAACGCCCCATTTAAATAGAGAGATGTTCTGATTCTGTTTAGAAAACCTCATCCTACTTCAATTAAAAAGCTGGTGATTACTCAGTTGTGTAAACTGTACCAGCAAGGTTTGTTATCGATAGCATTCTGTGTAATCCGTCTGGCTGATTATCTATGAAGCAACTCATAACTCTCTTTAGTTATTCAGTTCAAAAATCCAAAATTTTCTTCGAGAATAGGCTCATTTTTTTGGACATCTCAGGACGATACCGTGAATATTAAAACAGGTGTTTGACTCCTATCGTAACGTTCACCTGAGTGGAAAGAAATTTCTGAACCTTATTCAAAGAACAATTTTGTACTTCTACTCTATTCTAGCCAGATGAGTTTCTTCAATGTGCGTTCAGTTCAATGTAGTCGAGCACTCCCAATTCTACAATGTTTTGGTTTTAAACATTTCGTAATGGCATTGATTATTGAAAGAAAATCATTCATTTTCAGGGACACGAATCCTTACGTTAACAGACACGCCTGCGGACCAGATGTATAAACTAAAGTATCTTTTAATGCGTCAATAATTAAAATCTCTCAAGATTAGTGTGACCAGAATACGTACGTCTTGGTCAGCCACGATACACAGAGGATACAGTCTGCTTAAATAACAGCAACGTATGTAGACGGTAGAGGAAATAGCCAAAACCGAACGCCTGGGGTTCTCTTTCTCGTGGGGAACTCAGAGTTTTCTTTGCCGTACGTTCGTGACAAAAATTATAACTCCTTTCTTTATTGGACGACCGAGCGCACAATTTACTATCAATCCTACTGTAGACGCTTTCGACATCGCTAATCCTTACAGTATAATCCCTTAACTCCCATGGTTGACCAAGACAGAATTTCTCCTTGAAATATCGATACAATATCAAGCAGACAAGTTATGAGAAATGAGAAATGAGAAAAAGATCAAATTGCGGACTATCAGTTGATCCAGTGCCAAATTCCTCGAAATAACATCATAACAATTAGATGGCAGACAGTAAGGAGAATTACTGATGAGATCTTGGGAGTGAAAGAGTTAAAGGACGTTTGTGATTTGTGAATCCAGTGAATGGCCTGGCTCTTTATAACCCTAATGTTTACGGCCTGAAAATTTTACATCACGCACCGCTGGAGTATCTCTTTAGACTAAGTAGCTGGTGTTCCGTTTGCTGGTATATTCCCTCTTTAGAACTAGTATAGGGGATTAGTAGAGCAGTGCGTTTCATTAGTTTTTAGTTTTCAGTTTATAGTTTTGCTCCGGAAATAATTGCAACGTTTTATTCTCCATCCTTGGTCGTAAAGGTATCTCCTTAGCCCAGGTCCCTGGTTGCCGGTACTTCCCTATTTTCTCCTGAAATGATTTCCTTCAGGATCAAAACAACACGAAACTTAACTCTGGACAACCTGATCCGCCATTTAATTTACTGAGCCAAGAAAAACAGGTATTTTTCATCCTTAACTGTCCTTCAGACTCAAAGGAATCTCGATTTGCTTTTCCATTTTGAAGGCTGCCTTGTGTGGTGGTTATGTAAACTTCGGTGTATTTGGTTTATACGGCGACGATGCTTTGGAGAAAGCATTAAAAACGTTCGTAGAAATGTTATCGTCAATTCCGCACAGCAATTTATTGGTAAGTTGTCTTATATGTTGTTTTAAATACTTATTGAATTTTAACTTATTTTTCGTTTGCATCATGAATACCCAACAAAACATAGACTAAATGGTTCAAGGTACACGGACAATGGCGTAGGTTCTTTTAAAACTATTCAACCCCTTCTGTGCGGTTTTTATTCTATAAAATGATACTGCCGGGGTAGTAACACAGTTTTTATCTTTCAGGAATATCCGAAGTTGAGTCAGTCGTATTATGCTCTGTTGGAGATTCTAGCGCAGGATCATATGAATTTTCTTAGTAGCCTTGAACCTCAAGTAAGTAGTCATTTAAACGGGGGGAGGGGAGGGAAGGGATTGTTGGTCATAAGAGACAGAGTAAATGGTGAGCAATTTACAGTTGATTGTCAAAACTAATCCGAATTTCATTGGTTTTGCACCCTGACGGTCTGCAACTGGTTCAGAAAACTCGCGCCACCTCGACCAATCAGATGAAGCACAAATCGCGACTTGGTAACTCGTGTTTCCTCCACACTTTGCGCAATTTTTATTGTTTTAACCCAATTTACTGATGGGTCCCCTTGCCATATTTTTCTGTGTTCTGAATGGAAGCGCTGTGATTCCTTTAGGTTACGACTCTCAATCAAAATACGTTTTAATCGAAATCGAAGACAGGCACCCTTAATCGGGCATACCCTCTATGATAACATCTCGCGAAATTTGCTACGCAACCCAGATTTGCAAGTGATTTAAGCCACGCATTTCGTTGAAAGAATAGCATTTAAAACGATTTTCCCTTTCATTTCACAGGTATTTATGTATATATTATCCTCCATATTGGAGGGCCTTACAGCTTTAGGTGAGGAAGAGCTTGTTTGCTTACTAATTTACAAGTAGTGTATCTAGTTGTCACGAGCGCGATTATTAATAAAAAATGCTCACTGACATCGTAATGTATTCGATTTTGTTTTGGATTGCCACGTTCTGACTCCAAACTGCAAGTCCCCTCAGGCAATTAGCCACACTGGTAACGTTTCTCCTTACGAAACATTCAACTCCGCTGGAATTGGTTGGTTTCCGTCCGCTGGGATGGGCACATTTCATAAATGTGTGCCCTCAGCGTTTCGCTTTCGTGAGACTCTCTTTTTGCTGTGTCTTGATTATGGGCATCCAAGCGTCTGGGTTTTTTTCCACTGATTATGGGCATCCAAGCGTCTTGGACTTTAATGTTGACTGGATAGATTCTTTGTGAATCGTGCGTGCAACAGTTGACTGCATCGTGAGACAAACGATTTTATTTCATTTTTAGTGCATTCACCTCAATAATCTTAAAAAAAAACCTTGTTTGAACTGTATGCAGAGTTGACCTTGTTTTCGTTTTTCTTGCCAGACATTATGGTCTGCACAGGATGTTGCGGTACTCTAGACTTTATAGTGACTCACTTGTACAAAACGCTTTCCAAGAGACGGAAGAAAAACTCAACCGGTATGGAACCACAACCACCATGTTTACGAATATTAGAGTCCCACCCGGAAATGATCCAACAGGTCAGTATGAACTAAGTGTACTCATTTACTTGCCTGATTACGGTTCTCATCAGTAATAAGCGGGAAGGAGGTTGGTCACGGGTTGTGTGACGGTTTTTTTTCACCCCTTCAAGAGGGAGGACCAAAAAATAATAGGGAATTAAGAAATAGACCCACCATAATCAAACAGATGAGAGGATATGACGAGAGCCACAAACATTTTAAGTCCTTTTTCAGGAGTATCACCTGTATGTTAAAGGGTTTTTTAAGTTTATGTTATGTATAGTATTGAAGCATTTTCGATTAAACACTGTGTACATATATAGGAAAAAATTGGAGGTTTGATAAAACCATAGGTTGGTCGTTGAATTTTAGGGCAATTTCAAGGAGAGGATCAAGACATTTCAACGGGGAGAGTAGTTTTATTCTATTTTTCGTCTTCTGTCCCAGCCAAAATTATCACATCTTTCTTCCCCGGTCTAAAAAAGTGATAAGTACCCTAGACTAGAATTCCATTGGAGAAAGTATGTTGACCACAGCTCGTTTTTGTTTCGTTTTGTCTAGATGCTGTCGACGGTATTGAACATTGTCATGTTTGAAGATTGTAAAAACCAGGTAATGATAACGTATGTTATAACCACTGCACATCGTTCTCTCGGCGTGACTTTTGCTGGAAACTCTGGATTCTGAAACGTCTTAGTCGAATTGATCTCTTTTCTCCTCATTGCAGTGGTCCATGTCCAGGCCCCTCCTCGGTCTTATCCTGCTTAACGAGAAGGTAAGATAACAGTCTACTGACGTCTGCAGTGCCGGGTTTTTTTCTTTTTTTTTGGCAAGCCAGCGTTCGCAAACTTTTGTTTTTTTTAGCCGCCATCTTGGACTTTTGAGCAGAGGAAATCTGGGAAAAGAAAGAGGTTACTTCCGAGAGAATGGGCGATAAGGAAGAGAAAAGCAGCGGTTAGGGGAAGGGGAAAAATGCGCCTTCCTGGAGTCAGTGTATCTATTGCGTAACTCGTTTCGTAAACGAACAGAGTTTCTGATTGGTGCGGTGTATTGTCGTTATTTTGTTGCTCGTCAGTCGTTCGCCAATTTCACAGGGGTCGCGCGAGGGTAACATTTATCAAATTTGAAATTTATTCGTTTTCCACCTTTTTGTGGAAATAACTGAAGCGCAAATTATTTAGGGGTGCTCTCTTTTTTAACGCCTGGGTAAGCGTGTTTTCGTCTTTGCCTGACCCCCTCCCTCCCCCTCCTCTGTTTCACCAGGGAATTTAACCAAACCACGACGGCGACGGCAACGAGAACGTGGAGAAACAATAGATCTAATTGGCAGAACAATAGCCCAGAATTTGCGTTTTAAAACTTTATACATTTCTTAGCCGTCCTTTGCAAAACAACAACGTGAAATCCCCAAAATTTGCGTCGTCTGCGAACCGAAACCGCGGCGGCAAATTATTTTAATTTACATTTGGAACTCAACGCTACTTTTATGCATTATGTTGAGTTTGAGGTCTGGCGCCCTATGAGACGGTAAACACATGCAGCCATTTTCGAAATTCTAACTAAAAGTAGAAACTCATTTTTTAATCGACGTCTTCCGTGGCGTTCCCGTCGTGACTGCTTAAGTTCCCTACTAAATCAGAGATGGACGGTGCAATAAACGATTGCGAACTACAGGAAAGAGTAAGAATTACTTTTGATTGCTTACTTATTGTATCCGATTGCCTTTCATTACGACCACCTGTCTGTTTTCAAAGCAAAGGGGAAGCCATCTTCTTTTCATCATAATATATCTTTACTCTGTTTTCAGTCAATTCTATACCTTGAATTAAGTCAGTTTTGTCTATTTGAATGTGACCTGAAGTTAAAACATATTCCAAGCAATTTTTTGAAAAATTCAAAAGGATTGGTATCATTTCGTGTTTCAACCGTGTTGATTCGACCAGGTTTTTTCAAGGCCCATGGTGGTCTGAGCCTCACTCAAGCTTGATATACTTTTTAAGAGTGGTCAATCTCAAAATTGTGCTCTCTTTTACCAAGAAGACAGGTATTGAAACGTTGTCACACTTAGCTTAGAGTGGTCCGATCGCATGTTGGGATGCCACTCTAGTAAGAGTCAGTCTTGGTCCCCAAGGTTTACAACTCGACACCGTGTTTATAATGTTACTTTACTCAAGTTAACAAAAGTCTGGTTATTTTAGTACTTTCAAGAGTTACAACGGAATGTTATCGCGATGCAGCCGCCGGAGAAACAAGAAGATATGGCGCAGTGTTTTAGAAATCTTATGGACGGAGTAGAACCATCGCTCATCACCAAAAACAGGGACAGGTCAGTACTATCGACAACAACAATCGAGCGCAAGTTTAGATAAGCCAGTTGAACAAGTGTCCGAAGAATAAGTTAAAAATATGAAATATCTTAGTTGAATTTCGCGTAAAATAAAAAAAAAAGGATGTGGAATGTAAGTTGTAACCTAAAGTTCGTTATTTGATACAGGTTCACCCAAAACTTATCAATATTCAGACGGGAAGTGAACAACTCACTGAAGGCTTCAAGCAATGGAGGAGGTACGGCAGTCAAAGCCGATGGAGGGGTGGATATGGTGGCGTGATAACAGCTTTTGACCGACCAATCGGTCGATTAGTTGATTGTCACCTTAGGAAAGTGCAATACGAAAGAAGAGGTCGGGATCAATCGCATCCAATGAAGACGTGCTAGTCAGGACTTGTGTTTGTTTCCTGAAGGGACCGAGTAATTTTACAGAGAAAACAATAGTTAGAATACCAACTTGCTCCATGGCGAGCCGCTGGCTTCAGGAACGTTTGATGTAAAGAGTGTCGCGTAAGAGAACATTTACTTCTCTGCCAGGCAGCGCACATTCAAAAGAGAAGAAAAACGAAAGGATAGCCTAACTTTTCTTGACGCAAAAGAGTTACTCGAAATAGAATCTTATGTTTGGGTAAAATACATAGTGCATCTTTTAGAGATCTAGCTTCATTTATGGAATTTTTTCTCCCAAGTCGACTCTGTAAATGTCAGAATTCTGTACGCGTCCCTCTGGGGAGGACAAGCATGCACGTTTCCAGAGTCTGCCTTTATTTCGTCTCTCGTAAAAACTGATGAAAATTCAATCATTTCTACATAGCTTATCCCTGAGAAATGATGAAAGAGTTGCTTGCAAAATTGTGTATGTACTTCAATAAATTAGGATTAAATCAATGTCTATCTCTAGCATTTTCTGGGCAATAAACAATATCAGCAATTTCACTTTAAAGTTTACGTCATAACCCAAAGATATTTCATTTGGTCAAAGAAGTATGATTACGCTGAACGCACTCGTCTTATTGGTGGCAGTTTGTATCAGGACGGGAATGATTGAGGAATCTTCCGAGTTCCTACCGATTTTCGTGGATATTTAATAGTGGAAGTGAAGGGAGTGCTAAGTAGCCGATGAAGACTTCAATTAAGATAGGAGCTGTTTTTACAGTAGCAAGCTCACCTCAGTTGGCAAGAGTTTTTGTTCAAATGAGATGTGATTGGTTGACTTTTCGAGCCCTATTTTACGGTACGGCTCGGTAAATTGAACAGTTTCTTAAACTGAAGTCTTCCTCCCTCTATTTGTGCTAAGGGATATGACGAGAATCTTACTAGCCTCGTTTCCTCGGTCCGTACAGTAAGTTACGAAACCTCATTTTTTCCACTCGAATTAATGGCACGTACGCGAATTATGGCACGCGCACCTCGCGCTTGGCCACAAATTTAAGCAGGAAAAACACGGTCCGTGATTCGCAGTACGGACCTAGATCTCAGTTGGTAATAGGTATTTCTACTCATTGCTCAAGGACACTTTCCATGATAATTGCCATTGGTGACAGTTCCTTCCTAATGGCATTTGACAAAAATTCTTTTTTGAGTAGGTCTTGATGCTCTTCAAGGAGTAAACGCAGCTTAAAGCTAAAACTTTATTCATACACGAATTTGTCACGACTCGGTATCAAATTATCATTTCCAATAGCAAGTACCTAATTAAGATGGGTCATGGCTTCAGAAGGAGACCGTCTGATGGTCAAAATGCTCCACGCATTGAACAATTGTTTGGTCCACAAAGCCATGCCCAAATCTGAAATACAGTTCTCCATCATTTAACATTTCCATAACAGAATAAAATCAAAGTAGTCATTGGAAATCCCCGACGACGCAAACATTGTCCGCTTTTCGTTAAGAATTTTTATATTTAATTTATAGCAATGATTTATTTTCACAATTACTACGCCTGAATTGAGTTTCTATCTCATCGAAGACGCGAATAATCGAGAATATATACTTGTGAAGGTAAAGATGCTTTTGTACAACGTATTAAGATCCATCCCTTTGTTCACACGTCAATACTGAAGTGTCTTAAACTACTTGCTGTAGCCTTTACACGGTTCATTTTGCTAGATATGTATTGAGCATGAACTGTCTCCATCATGCATGCGTCCATCAGCGCAAAAAATCAACAAATTCACATTTCGACATCAAAATAAACTTTGAAACCTAGAAAAGGTGTCAGTCGATTTGGACTCTATGTACAAGGCAGTGTAGTGTCCCACACCATAACGGTCTGTAGTTCTGTCGTTTGTCCTGCAAGTCGTGTACTGTCAAGGAAAGAAAAAGAGAGAGTGAACAAAGGAAAGTAAGAATGTAACAGCGAAAAAATGTAAATTTTTATTTGATTTTGCTTCCTTTTAAGTACAAAACTGTGTTGAACGTGACTTCTCACTGAAGCTTTCGTAATATTCTTAATCTTTACTGCAGTAGCAGTGGAATCATCGATCGCAAATAGTTAACGATGTCAATAATAAACGCACTTTATCGTAGAGCTTTTACAACACTATAATAGCGCTGCCCTTTACATTTTGCTCTTTAAACTCCCATCAGAAGTACAATCGTATGAATGCATTTACCTGCTTGTAACGTCCTTTATTTCCTCTACATTACGCGCAAAATGTCGCAGGAAAAGGAAATATAAGAGGTTTCAATTCAAGCTGTATTTGCAGATGTCGCATTGTTTGGTTAAATTCACGCACTGATATATATTACAAACCTCATAGGTCGCCATGGGATTCTAGTTTATATAACTAGACCATTATTCTCTAGAACTCACTGTCTTGTAGTGAACTCTTTTAGCGTATAAATATCGTTTGACCTCGTCAAGATATAAATAATTTGTTTCGCACTTTAGCTGCGAATGGTTAACTCGTCTATGCCGAGCTATAGGAAGCCGATTCACAAATGTTGCCGTGAAGGTGGCACTTTTGGTTTTGCTCCTTAATCGCCGAGAAAAAGCACCTATGCCCTGATTGGCTAGATCACTTTTGTCACTCTATTTTAATGAATAAAAGGGTAAAATGGGTGTCTGGAAACCGCTTGAAAACGTCTCACTTTGACTCTTCCACTTCTGACAATGACCAATTTGGAATTTCTCCTTACAATATCGTTACATCTTCGAACAAAGTGGCCAAGAGAAGAAAGGTAAATATCAAATAGGGGATCATATTACTCTATTGAAATCACTATATTCTCAGGGCTAAAATTGTAAGAACAGTATGGCAGACAGTGTAGAGAATTTATATTAGATTTAGGAAGTGAAAAGGTTAAAGTAATTAGACGTATAAGTGTAAAAAAAAACAAAAAACTGACGGTCTTATGGAGGTAGAGCGTAACTGCACCTTGTTGTCGTGTTTGTTTTCTAGTACGCGTTGAATGAATCCTTGTAAACTTTAAGTCCGTCTCCAAGAGACTCGTCAGGAGTTACTTGTTGTTGAAGAAGTGACGCATCATCTGATCCGCCGTCCACCATAAAATGTGCAATTGTGATTGGTTGAGTTGAAGGGTTTCCGGGCACGTAACCTTCCCTTTTAAGGTAATAACACAATCCAGGTATATATGTAAGAGCATGTGTAGTGGGTAGAGATCGGTTACTAACTTCTATTTGCCTTTTTCGAAAAATTGTCTCTTAAATCTGAGCCGAGGAGCGTGAAAAACTTGGTCGAAAAACTATAGCTTATATGATACTAAGTCGTTGGTGCTAATCTTTAAGCAAAAGACAAAATTACCTGAAATAGATATTGTTGACAAAGGCTTCTCTACGTAAAGCGGTTTTAATCTGAAAGGAGTTAAAATATAAAAAATTCGATGACTTTTCATTAAAGGTATCACGTATTCATATACAAGTAAAAGAGCTATTGAGAGAAGGTAAATAATTCAAAAATGAAGAATCGTAATTCTTCTTTGTCGCTGCCTTCTAATAAGGCCCGCAATATAAGAGGATGTAATCTATGTAGTGCGGAAATAATACAGTAAAATTACCATTCTTTATTTTCAAAACAAGAGCGTGCGTCAATGAAATTAAACTCACAATGGGTTAAAGTGCCCATAATGTCAAAAAATGTTTTTCGCTCATCTAATTCTAAATTTCACCAAATGAACTTCTGCGAAAAAAATTTTCGATTTGGATAAAACGCAATTTTTTTATAATTTATAAAGACATTCACATTTGCCACCATTTTTGGTCCACCATTCGCACCAGTCTTCCTCGGTTTAAAGTGAGTCGTGACGTAGGTTCAGGAACACGTGATTTTGGGTTGTGACTTATCTGAGTCTTATCTGTGACTTATCTGGGAATTTGCTTCAGAGTGGTTACAATATCGTAAACGACCCGCACTCAACCAGTGTATTTATATGCACTTTAAGGTCAAGTGAGGTTCCTGAACCTACGTCACAGACATCAGTCACGTGGTCATTTTGAGCACGTTATTCTTGTGATCAGCGGCAGGGGTCGACCGCAAGAAAATAGAATTTTGAGCTTTTTAAAAAATTCGTAGAAAAATCGCGTTTTATCCAAATCGAAAAAACTTTTTCACCGAAGTTCATTTGGTGAAATGTAGAATTAGATGAGCGAAAAACGTTTTT